ATTCAGAAGCTTCGCAACCATTTATGATGGTTGCAGTGTCTCAAGATCATGTCATCTTCTTTGTGACCTTCTGACAAGCAAAGTCAAAGGAGAAGCCAGATTCACTTAACAACCATGTTATTATCTTAACAACTGCAGTGATTCACTTAACTGTGTCAAGAAAATGGGACAAAACTCACTTAACAACTGTCTTTTGGAGTCAATCGTGGTTGTAAGTCGAGGACTACCTGTACTGTCACAGCTACTGAAATGCAGCAACAAGTATTCAAAATTGATATACTTACTTAGAGCATCTGCTAGTGAGATGGACTTCTCACACACAACTCTATCCTCTGATTTTATTGTGCTGTATCATTTCCCTTTACTGTTTCAGTTCTAGGAAAAAGAACTGGAAGAAATGTAAATTAACCTGCACTACCACCCTTCTGTACACCAGGCCTTTGTGACACAAGCCAGAACAGTACCTTCATCCTGGATTAAATACTGGATAATAGATGTTGTGACAGCAACTGACCTAGCACTGAAGAACAAAAATTTTAGCTGGAGAGGCTACCATCACAACTGTTACATTACAATCACTTAGGTCCAAAAGGAAAAGAGGCTACCTATTGTCATCCAGGATGTATTTCCCCACCTTATCTGCCAAACTATTCTTTCTCTCTGCCTGTTTCTCCCCAATTTTCCTGATGCATCTCTTAAAATCAAGCCCCAACCATCAGTCTTCATTCCTTCACATTCCAATCTCCTCTTACACTCATATAAACAGAAAAAGAAGCATCCAACTGCTTCTTAATGACCAATATTGCCACCGGTGTCCTCCTCATCTCACAATATGCTCCTTAAGGCCCAGGATGCACACAATGGCTCTCTGTCTCTCTCCCCTCAGACCAAATGATGGTCTTTTTCTTACCCTCCACCCATTGGCAGGGAGAATTTATTTAATTATTTAATATTATTATTATTATTTAATCTATGGTAATCAATAGCACAAGAAATGAGTTACATATATTTGAAAAGGACTAGCTTGATCCGCCCCCTCTCTTAATGTGGGAAATAGTTGACATTTTAATGTATCTGAATAACAATAGTAACTAATCATGAGCCATAATATAAAGCATATTTTTTAAGGAGGTGGAAAAATAAAATGACAATTAAAAAGCATCTGGCAAACATATAAAGCTGTCAGACATAGTAAATCCTGCCCCTCAAGGTTTAATTGAATACTTAAGTTTCCTTGTAACTCTGTAATTGTTTACAATTAAAGAAAAATAAAAACCAAACTATTTCCTCTATTTTTAATAAAGATTTCCCCGTGCATAGAAATAGCACATTAGTCTCTATAACATATGTTAAGAATGCCTATTATGTATTCTATTTCTAACATGCCTCAACTTGTAGATAGTATAAAAACAAATGCATAAATAAGATTGTTTCCAGAACTGTGTTTATGCTCTATGTTTTGATTTGATAGGTAACAGTATAAGTAACAGTATAAGTATAAGTGATAAAAGTAGGCTAAGCACAATCAATATGGTTCAAAAGCTTTTATTTTAACCACTGAAATACCGTAGGAAAGGAAACCAGTTAATTAATATTCCAATTCCTAGGACATGGCAAGTATACTACTTTTAATACACCAAACTTAAATATCGAGCACAATGAAAGCAAGGAAATTAAAACTGTTTGCCAAATTAGGAATATGGAAATAGTATTATAGAAATAGCAAAGCTACGTTTGGAAGCTGGATACCAGGGGAATTAAATGACAGTGAAATAATGTGGGCTACATGAGCATCAGAAAAAGTAGATTCAGAAAACTGAAAGGAGTAGGAAAAAGAAATGGAGTCAAAGTAGTTATATATTATTGTTTCAAAACAAAAAGAACATTAGAAAATGGAGATTAGAGTAAGCACAGCATTCCTCTTGTAGTCAGATAAGCATTTATCCATGATGTGTACAGAGTTGCCTGGGAGGAAGTATGTATTCAGTTGAGGCCACTCCGACACAATTCACTTCTAGCCATCTTTTCACCAGCCCCTCCTTCTCCAATCTTTTTTTCTAATTCCTGGCAGCTTTATTTTGAATAAAATGGATCTTTTAGCCAAGATGTCAGTGTGATGCCAATAAATAAACAAAGCATAGATTACACATGTGCAGACAGCCAGCATGTCTGAACTTCTCTGTAACAAGAGAGATGCAATGTTTATTTATACATAATCTCTTGCCCTTTCACAGGTTCCTGTGGGGACTTAGAAGAAGTTAGAATTCACAGCCTTCACCTTAAGGATACGAATACTGAATGTCAAGTTTACTTCACTTTTTTCTTCTTCTCCAAAATGCTATCATTTGACCCAATTTTAAATAGCTGTAATCTGGACAACATACTGCATTTTGGTATAGCAGCTATTGCGTTAAAGGATAAAATTACTCTTTGTTAAGTTCTGATATAGAGGCTATGCGATAGTATGGAAGTTACAAATAAGTTTAGTCTTTTTCAGTGCTATAGCATACCTGAGTGCATAACTGAAATATCACTTTCGCAGACTTATCTACAGAATAATTCCACTAACAGTTTAAACATAATCCCCTTCCCCCCCCCAGTTTATTTTTAAAGGGAATTGTTTTAAGTATGCACAGGTAAAACATTTTGAAACACTTTTACTATTTATCAGCTATTAAGTAGCACTATTCTAAGGTCACCACTTTCCATGTCCCACGATGCCATGGAAATTTGAGAGCTCACCACAGGTTAAGTCAATCAACCCTGGAAGTTAATTGGCTCAGCTTTCCATGCTACCTCTAGAACAGGGGTCTCCAATCTTGGCAACTTTGAGCCTGGAGGACTTCAACTCCCAGAAGCAAAGCTGGCTGGGGAATTCTGGGAGTTGAAGTCCTCTAGGCTTAAAGTTGCCAAGGTTGGAGATCCCTGCTCTAGAACATCAAGGTCTGGTGACTTCTTATTGTTGGCAACTCTCATCTAGTCCTGCCCCCTGGTTCTAGGATTCTCCTACAGAAGTTAAAGTGTGTGATACCTCTGTCTCTCTCCTAAAACCAACTCACTTAGTTTTTCTCTCTCTTCCCTCAACACAAAATACTTAGTGAGGGGAAGACCAAGATAGATATTGGAAGGCAAAATGAAGTCCGATGCTCTTAGAAATTGGAGTCTGTCAATTGAAATAAACTGACTAACTAAATCCAGATATTTTATTACCAATTCAACATATTTAATTGCAGGAAGCTAATTCTTACGAATGTACAACTGCTAAGTTACTTTTATGATTTGTTTAACACTTTCTAGTAAAGCTAAATATTTAACAAATCATGAATCACTTTATTTCAGAACATAGAGACAAACTCATGAAGAGCTTGTACAAACAAGTTTATAATATATCTTAAAAGTTTGCAGCTGTAACAATGAAGGGAACAACCCACCATGTATAAAAATGTTATTCCCTAGAGTGTTTTTCGGTTTCTAACATGCTGGAACACCTTATATTTGAGACACTTTCCTTAAACAACTCTGCAGAACCAAAAACGTCTAAAGGTTCTTTGTACATGTCATTTTCATAAGAATTAGTAAAGGTTACTGTAGCTCGGGGATGTACATTTAAAGCCACCCCAAGGCCACTTTCACATTTTTAACTCATTTCTTTAACCAGAGAAAAACACTTTTTTCTTTCAACTGTAATAATTTGTTCTGTATTTAAACCATTCCTTGTTGACTCCTCCCCATCCCGTGGTCTATACTACTGTATGTAGCTGCTTTCATTTTTTCAATCTTCCACTTTCTGTGTGAATGTTACCCATATCTTTTTCTGTTTGCTTCCCAAATAGATGTCTCTGTTTTCCCATCAATAACTATTATTTATTTTATTTAGCATATTTTAATGTATACATTAAAATGTATGCCGATTAGTGTACATTTAAAGTGACAATAAAGTTATTCTAAGTCTAAGTATGATGAGAACATGACAAAAGAGAAGTAATCTCTTACTTCTTATATAATCCACATGAATTATATACAAAACGTCTATGGGGGTTCAGCAGTGGCCCATAACTGGATGTCCAATTCAATAAGCATTTCTTAATAGTGTACAAAATACACTTTATACACTTCTTTAAGTGTATAAAATCAAATAACTATGCATATATAGTATATAAGTATTTATAGGTAGTTTTTTTAATCAGTCTTCTAATGAGGAATACTCATTATTTTTGCTACTTTTTGATCTAGGATATGTTAGGTTTCTATTACATTAGAATGAGAAAATTATGTCCTCCAGCTATTGCTCTGTGAAATAATTGCTTATCCGTGTTGCACAAAGAACTGCTTACATCTCTTAAGGTAACAGACCTAGAAAAAGTTTACTTCTTAAATCGTACACATTCACGTTAACTCCAGGTCTAAGAAAGCTGTGCTAGAAAATCAAAAGTATACAGTATTTTGTTAGTAAAATATATAGTTAAATGAAAGATTTTGCTCAAAGTGCATAATTTTTATATCCTTATCAGATGCAAAGTTAAGGTTTCTTTAAATCTCAGTCTGCATTACATCTGCACTTTACCACATTGCAAGAGAATACAACAGATTCACAAGAGAATACTTGTTTTTTTATAACAAAAGCCTTACTGTTTTTTCTCAATAACTGATAATTACAATCAATATATCACCAATGTATATTAAATTGGCAAAAATATCTAATAACTTGCTTTTAATTGTAATGCACCAGTTGAATGAGTGTTTTGTATTATTTACTTCCAAACAAACCATCAAAACAATCATGAATCAACTTCCTTTGCGCTATCCAACCTGTTGATTTAAGATCAATTAAACTATTGGTCTTAAATCAAATTTAGAAATGTATTTTTTTAAACTCTAGCTTTATTTTATATTGAACCAGATAACTATATCGGGATTGTTCCTTAAACATGAATGTTACAAATGGTTGAGGAGATGTGTATCAGAGTCATGTTTCAACTGTAATAAAAAGGACTGCTTACCTTCAGACAGGGACAAGTCATCAACTGGAGACAGGAGGTCTGCCTGTACAGCAAGGCCATCACTTAGCCATGTGGTAATCTGATTCGTCAAGATTACCTGCAAACAGACATGGAGGAGGAAAAAGTATTAGAATTACAAGATAGGCACAATAATTACCTCAGATATACACAGAATGTATAGACAACCCTCAACGCCCACCATAAAATTCATCATTTCAACTCCTTTCTCAAAATTGGATCAAGCATCTTAATAAAATGTTAAAGAAAGCAAATCCTTTCAAAACTCAACTCAAGATTATTAATTAGCTTCATATTATATCTCATTTCTTTGGCAGGAAAGAAGAAGGAATGTCTCTGTTGAAAGGAAAAAGTGGTAGAGAGGTAGACAGCACAGAGGAAACAGAATAAAATGTGATAAATGCTACAGGGTCCCAAAGCAGTGTGTCTGCATAAAGATCACTAAAATAGTTCTTCTCTAAGTCAACATAAAGAGCCAGATGGATATACCAAGCTGGTTCAGTGTGAATAAATGATATATTAAAAATTGAAAAAGACAAAGTTTAGAAATAAATTGTAACATCTCATCATTACAACTGTATGCTAAGATGGGAAGATACTGTACATCCAGTTATCCAAGATGATCTGTATAATTAGAACATTGTCACAATATAGTGACAGCACATATTCTGAATGCAAGAAGCATGAAGTCAAATCCAAGTATCGTTATACTCCTCTCTGGAAACTTAGAAAACTGTTGTCAGTCAATGTTGCTGTCAGAACATAAGATTCCAGCACTGTCTTCTCACAGAAGTCAATTTAATAGCCATGCAATGGCTAGATGAAGGATATAAGCACAACAGTACCTTTCTCCTTATATAACTCAGTGACTGGCAATAGCTTTCCAAAGCAGCATTATCATAGCTTTGGCTACTTCTCTGTATTTCCATCATCCTTGCACAATAAAGAATTAGACAAAAGATAAAATAATAATCTCAGATTAAATACTATTCATCTTCATCATCAAGCACTGGGATAGAAATCTGAAATGCAATCTGAAATAAAAACTCTGTTGTCTTAGGGTTCTTGGGAAGCTTATAAGGACCAGTGAAAAAGCTTCAATATGTTAATGATCCAGGCTTAGACTCTGTACCTGTTTTATAAAGATACACTTGTTTCCTTCATCTTTTACTGCCACAAATGAATAAAAGCATTAAATTTGGCCTCTTGATTCAAGCTAGGCAAACTACATGTTTTACAAATTTATGGTGATCAGGCAGTATTAACCAGGCTATTTCCTTTCATCATCCATGAAGAGTTTACTGTCATTTTCAGTCCAATAATGACAATTAAGAGTCTTTGCCTCCCAGAAAGTTTGGCAGATTTCCTTCCTTCCTTCCTTCCTTCCTTCCTTCCTTCCTTCCTTCCTTCCTTCCTTCCTTTCCTGTTGGGTAAGCGATGGACATTGAAAAGGTAACAAACACAATTTGGGAGTCATTTGTCATATATAAATAAATTCTATCCTGCTACCATTATTACTAGAAGACATTTGAAAGACTACAAGAGGCAAAGAAATAACAAATCCAGAATATAGTATTTCAAGCACCACAATGCTAAATTCAACATGATAGATATATTGATGACTTCACATAACAATATTTGCTAAAGTGGTTCAATATTAATATAGATTCATATTAAAGCAAGAACTAATAATACCAATCCAATACCAGTTCCAAATGAATAGAAATATAAAGACTAAACAGTAAGAGTTGTGGGGAAAAAAAGAATAGGAAACATTTTAGATTAATGTACAGAATGTGCAGCCACATTATGACATGGTCTAAAGTTTTTATTGGCAGATGTTTTACACTAACTATATTATTCACAAATGTCAAGAGAACCCATGTGTGATGCGGTCATTTCAAATTTCTTCCAATGTAAACTAAATTCTGTACCATTGTGTGCTTGTTCATGTCACATCACTTTTATATATTTCTTTTTCAAACTAAATTTCTGTAATTCATAGTCCATTTCATTAAACAAGTCCTATTCTGCTAGTTTCCAGTTACAAAAAATACCTCATTACAACTGGAGATTTGAGAAGGTTCAATATTAATGTATGGATGTATCTCTGTGTATGTATCTTTGTACATGTATGTATCTAAAACACACACACACACACACAAATATATATACATATACACAGATGAGTGTGTGTTGATGTCCCTTCCATTTCCTTTTTCCTTTCTCTCCTCTCTCTCTGGTAGGGCTATACATATTGTTTCAGCCCACAGAGTTGTTATGAGGACAAAATAGATAATTTCATCTACATTTCCTTAAGATCCTTGGAAGAGAATAGTATGTACAGACTGGCACAGCCAATAAATTGCATAAAAGATAAATAAAAAAAAGACCAACAAATATATAGATGTAAATAATTATAATTTAATATAGAAATAACTCACTTACTAAACAATTACACTTCCAAACAGCTTTAGCTCTTTCAAAATTATTAACCAACACTGGGGAACCAGAGAATAGCCTGTGTTCAATAATTGCATCTTCCCAAGTATCGGTGATCAATCCAATTGTGAAGTTCTCAAAAAAGTTAATTGTAATTCTTTGTGCTCTCTTTCATCTCTACATCATTTTAGAATCACAACACAGGTTGTCTTCGACATACTATCACCGGAATATTCATCATTAAAAGGTACAGTCATTAAGTGAGGCATCACATCACTGCATCTTCTTTTACTATCTTTTTTGCCATGGTCATTAAGGGGATCATTGTGGATGTTAAGATAACATGATTCACTCTGCTTGTCGGAAGATGGCTGAGAAGGTCGCAAATTGCAATCATGTGACCTCAGGATGCTTCAACTGTTGCAGCAGGATGCAGGCAGGTTGCCAAGTACCCAAATCTCAATCACATGACTGCAGGGGTGGTGCGATGGTTGTAACTTTGAGAATAAATCATATAAGTCATTTTTTGTAACACCGCTGTAACTTCAAACCATCCCAACAAAATGGCCAAAAGTTGAGGACTACCTATATGCAGAGATTTTTTCTCCCACACTGTTACAAAATCACTGTATGTTTAGGTGGAAGATCTTAAACATTTTCCTTTCTGTCAGAAAAAAGAAGAAACATAACATTTCTCAGTGCCTTTATGCTTTTATTTCCACTTGATTTCCACTTTGTTTCCTTGAATGCCCTCTAGGTAGGAATCTTTACTATGAATTGAAACAACAGCATCAACAAACCCAAATATTTTACTTAGGCCTCACATTTTCATGCAGCAGCTTTTATACCCAAATGAAAATTGCTCAACACATAAAGAAGCAGATACCTATCTTGCCAGTACTTCTTGAAACAGTTTTGTCACCTTGTTACTGAAGGTCCTGGACAGCATAGTGGGAAGGAGTGCCTACATTTACCTGCATCTGGTTCACAGCATAATCTGGCTACGATAATTTCTGCTTTTGTAACCCTGGATCTAAATTACTAGAATAAACTCCATGTTCAGGATGGTTCAGAAATTCCAGATATAAAACATCACGGCTTAGTTACTAAACAATATACAAGGCAGAATATTGTGTATTTTAAATTTCAAATACCAAACACATCCAAACACTTTACTCACTTCAATATTTGATTTTAACTTATAAAAGCCCTACCTATAAGCTTAAATATTTTGCAAAAATAAAATCTACTAGAGGGGAGCTGAATAATATATCACAGTACATATAATAGTCAATGAGTAACATTTGTGATCTAGGACTACATTGTATTTGATTTCATTTGGATATTTTCAATTTCATAAACCGACCTGATATTTCTTAATAAATAGGCAGTCACTATAAGAAACAAAACACCAAAAATGCAGCATAATATAGAAAGCCTTATGTACGACTTTTTATCAATCATCTTTCTATTCAAGCTGCCTTCTTATATCAAAAAAGGACCCAGCTCAGAGGAATTTTCTCTATGGAAGAGCTGGAAAGGAAGCTGGCATACCAGATACATTTCATTTTGACTATGATTAAGGAAGGCTCATACTGAAGACACAATTTTTTTTAATCATATGTAGTTTATTTTAAGGGTATTCTCAGATTTCCTGTTCTATCCTGTGTAGAAACAAAAAAAATCATATAGCAACAGAAATATTGCAGGGTGTTTTTTTTTAAAGCTTATGGGAAATTGGTAATTTAACAGTGGCATTGCCTTTAATGTCCGTCTTTGTGTAATCTTGTACCTGCTTATAACTGCTTCAGAAACAAAATTAAAACTGCTTCTATATGGATAAATAAGAATGTTATTTCTATGGTACTTTTTTCTCAGATACATCTTCTGCCCTCCCCAGGACCACACTGAAACAACTAAATCTGACTCTGTCATCCCTGAAAATCTGGTTGAGTAAATAAATCATCCTCTGTAAACTTGTGGTCTCAGCCTCCTTGTTGGTTTATTGCAAAATTAAAGGAAACTAAGTACAGAACCATCAATCAGTAACCAGGAAAGGTACAAAGGCTTTGGAATCCACCAAAAGGGAGGGGAGAACCTCACATGAAATGACTGTTTATTATGAGAACTGAGTAAAATTTCCATTTTCACATGGAACATCATTTAGGGGAAAAAATGTATTAAAGGCTTCCTATTGGGAGTAGAAGATGGAAAAGCTAGAAGAGAACACTAAGAACAATCAAAAAGTTTTCTCTAATTGGTATTATGTTTTTTTAGAAACTATTTTTAGCTCATGCAACAACAAAACCAACCGAAGTACCAGTCACTTTCCACAGTTACATTTCAAAAGTATTAATGGTAAATTTCAAAAGAAATTCAGAAGAATTAACAGTACATTTCAAAAGAATTAATGGTCTTCATAAACTGTGAAAAACAGGAAGACAAAGTCTGAGAAGTTACTATGGTAAATCAATAGATTTCAGGAGGAAAAAAACCACTTTAAGCATGTAATGACAAAGTTAAAGCTCTTCCACATCTGAACTGACAGTGCTTCCTGCAGAATTCCCCACAGAAAGTAAATTTCTGGCTAAATGAATCTAAAGCAGGAGGATGAGTATGGTATATCAAGTTTTTATC